ACCCCTAACCCTTAACCCTAAACCCTAAACCCTAAACCCTCAAACCCTAACCCTGAACCCTAAACCCTCAAGCCCTAAACCCTGAACCCTAAACCCTCAAGCCCTAAACCCTAAACCCTAAACCGAACACCCAAATTACCCGATGCCTTTCTTCAGAGACGTACTTGCGCACTGGACGATCCTATAGCACAAGCCCAGATTCCATAGTAGTTCCTTTTTGGGATTACCTTATAGGGTTTAGGGTTTAGGGTTTAGGGTTTAGGGTTTTGGGATTACCTTATAGGCTTCTAAATATGAAACCCCAGTGCAGAGCTGCCTCTGGCCTAGCCCTGGGAGCCTTGACGGCACAAAGAAACCTTTTGGGCTCGCGCCTGTGGGTTTAGTAGGGGTTTCAGGGTTTAGGGTTTAGGGTGTTTAGAGTATGGGTAGTTCTCTAAATTAGGGTCCCTTTTAGGGTCCATTCTATAACGGTGCCGTACTATCTTGGGGGCCTAAAACGGGACCGTAATTTAGAGAACTACCCGTATCGCGCTAGGGCACACTTTCCGGCTTCTGAGAACACTTTGTGGATACTCGAAACCATCCTTGGGGAAAACTCAGGGCAGCAGGCCCTGCAAAGGAAATCGAAAGCCAGTGTTTGGAAGTGCAAGCTTCGTAGACTGAAAGCGGCAAAACCATCAACTACAAAATCTGTGGGCTCTGCATCCTGGTCCCAATGGCCGCATGAGTAATCAAACTAGGTTTCGGGGCTTGCCGTAGTGACTTGAGTACTATATATATATATATACCCATACATATGTATGGATGGATGGATGGATGGATGGATGGATGGATGGATGGAAGTCTGCATGTATCATGTATGTCTACCTAGTTATCCACCTTTCTGTTTACCTATCCGGCCTTCTATCTACCTATCGAACTATGTGCGTATACATATATGTGTGCACACGGTATTTGGGAAGCATCCTTTGCACAAATTGATTGCGAACTCCCTAATGTGTTCGCATACTCAAGCCCAAAGCCCTTAAACCTAAACCCCTAAGTGGGCAGGGCACTGGTTGCCCAAAGTGCCCAACAGCTGCTGAATGGATCCGAACTGATTGGTCAGAACAGTCCTCGGAAGTTCTTCTATGGTTTAGGGTTTAGGTTTATCCTGAGGAGCCAAGAACCCCATGGGGTTTGTAGGCTTTTTTGGGGCTTGACGTTTAGAGTTGACATGGAGGCACGCGAAACCCTGCTACTTGGGGTAGCTGGACTTTATGACTACGGTTCAACAGTACCCTAAACCCTAAACCCCTAACCCCTAAACCCTAAACCCTAAACCCCTAAACCCCTAAACCCTAAACTTAAACCCTAAACCCCTAAACCCTAAACCCTGCAAACATTTTAGGGCTTCGGGTTTAGTAGTTCGAGGTGGGAGTTTCAGAAAATTAGGGTACCTTATTTGGGGGTCCTTATAATAGGGATCCTATTATTTAGGGTACTATATTAGGGTCCCCTTATTTTCGGAAACCCCCAGGTTTTGTAAGTCTTGGGGCCGAGGATGTCGGGTCCAAACATTCGGGAACCCTTTGCCGCGAAAGCCCCCCAAGCCCCCAAATATGATGTAGGGTTTAGGGTTTAGG